TGGAATATAGCAGAGTGAGTGTGTGTGAATGCAAGTGTGAGCTAGTTTGATTACGTGAGTTAGTTATGAGCTGTTAGGATTGGTTGAGGTTGTTAAACTGCTGTGCAGTTGCAGCCAACTCAGCAGAACTAATCTGTATATAACACTAACAGATGTATTAGAAATGCAAGATACATTTTCTGTATACTTTCACTAGTATGAAATCTCAACAGAACAAATGTTTTTTAATGTTAATATGCTTTTGGTAATTATTTGTTGTATAAGGTTGGACAATATGATTACTCGACTATTCATTATGTTTCAAACTCATCCTTTCCCGTTAAAAAATTAACAGTCGTCTGAGTTGGATGTTAACAAGCTAACTGAGAAATGATAAAATTTGATCTCATAAACCCCAAACCCTAAACATAATATCAAACGATTATCATAACTCAGTCAGTTCGTTAACATCCAACTCAGATGACCGTTTTTTTTTAACGGAAAATGACGAGTTTGGAATAATGAATGGCGCTGACTATTTTGTAAATTTTAAAAGTCGAGAAAACTTAACAAACAATTTCCCATAGTCAATGAACCATTTTATAACTTTGAATGGTCGAGGTACTTAACAAAGTAGTGTCCTATAGTCGGGAAACCATTTGTATACTTACCCAAAAATAAGATTATAGATAATATAAATGTATTAAAAATTGAAAAATATGAGAAAGAAATAACAAAGACAACTTGAATAATATCATATGATAATATTTATAGCATAAACTTTAATAATATGCTTTTTATTGTTTATATTTTTTTTATATACAATCTTAATATGCTAGCAATTATTACTGCTCCAAGCTTCCAGGATTTTTTTTATCTATATTATGTATATTTGTACGAAAATATAATTATTATTGTAATGTTTTTAATTTTATATGTAATATTTGGTAGTATAAATTATAATTATACAATTATATAAATTTAAATTTCAGAAGGAGTAAAGACCGAAACTACACACGATAGAGATAATATTCAACTATACAATAAAAAAAATTTATTTCAATAATCCTAATCTATATAAAACTAAAAAAGTTTTACATAGTATAAATGTATCCTAACCCATACGTAAAGTTTAAATTTTAATTTTGCATTTTATGTCATATGAATATGACGATAATCTTTATTATTTGACTGATTGATCGATTAAACTGAATTAGATATTATAGATATTCATTGTATATGAATATGTTCAGTCCTTGACATGTTTTTTTCTGGAAGAATTATTTTATTTTCCCGAACAATTTTTACCGGAAGAGGGGATAAAAATTTGCGACTAATAAGTATTGAATTGACGCAACTAAAAGAAAAGATGTTAATTGAGAATTTTTAATTAGTTATTTTAAATGTTTATAGAATAATTACTTTTAAGAAAACTATTATTCATTATTTTAATAGAATTGTCTATTATTGATTAATGGAGTGATTAATCAGATTAAAAATATAGAGGATCATATGATTATAGTAAAAGAACTGAAACTAAAATTTGATTAAAGGAGCGAAACCAAAAATAGAGGACCGTTTGATTATGGTAAAAGTAGAGATGGATCTAGGCGGGACGTTTGTATCTCTAAAAATTTAAAATTATCATATATATATATATATTTAAATTATGTATTTTTTTATTAAAAATATATTTTTGTTCCTCTAAAATTTTTCAAGTTCAACCCCTAAAAATTAATAAGTTCAAGTTCATCCCCTAATATAAAATCTTTCGTTCGTCCATGAGTATAAAGATTAAGCTTAGAATTTGATTATAGTAAAAGGATCAAAACCGAAATTTGACCAAAAAAGGCAAATACAAGAAGATGCATAGGGTTTGTGGGTCCAGCACATGGTTCAGGTCCACAGCCTTACCCAAGATTCCCGCCCGAGAGAGGAATACCTTTCTCCCTCTTTTTCAAAGGAGAAACCCTAAAAAGGGGACTTCAAACCCATGTGCTAATGTCCACCCTTGGATTTTCCTTTTTCAGAATCCACAATTCCTTGCCTTTCGGCGCCGATTAAAGCCAAACTCATTTCACAAACACTTTAGATTGATCTTACTCCACATGACATTTCAATCCACTGCACCATACAAAGGAGTTCATCAAAGTCCACATCTTGGCTTTGTGAATCACTGTTGAGGGTACCTGCATGTCCCATAACCTGACCAACAAACAAAAACTTATGTCTGAGCTTAATGAAAATTCATGCTAATGGTGTCTTTTGAATGTGAACTTACTTGGATCACTAAGGTGACAAGCCCTGTTCCCTTGAAATCACAGTTCCAATAATTCCTGCCGTGCATCTGGTAATAAGCATTCATGGCGTAAGAACGCATGAGCATGAACCTTATCCGGCTCAAAGCAATCGCCACTTTCATAAACCTCCCCTGGCAATCAACTCCGCCCGCACCGCAGCAGAAATCAAGCACCGTTTGAAGCACTTTCATCCGCATGCGGTTTCGCCACGCACCACCGACGGACCCCTTGCTCGACCGCTGCTCATCGACGACATCTTTTCGAACGCGCCGCCGTTGCTGCAGAACTCGCAGCTCAAGTCCACATCGTATACTTTAGACCCATCACCGTTAAAAATCCCAAAGTTCCTCTCACTCGTCCCCCTTGCTTTTGTTCTCGTTAAACAATGCAAACACGAATATCTCTATCTTGTCTTTAGACTTCATCGGTGTCCCTTTGTTAGACTGTGCTCGTTCGATTAACCTGGTGTTGTAAGTCTTTGCATTGTTAGGTGTAGCTGCAGTGTCGCCGGAATCTCCTTTCGATGGCCACCGGATTCGGAAACTGTGATCTTGATCGACATGTTCCCGAACCCGACAGCATCGATAGCCGACCGAACAGCATCGATCTGTGCATCGAGCATGTTGTGGTAGATATACCCCTTAGGGTCATGTACCCCTGTGAAGTTCCCTAGCAAGGCATACTCTATATCAACCATACTTGGGTTATCCCTATATGCAAAATAAGGGTAGGCATTAACCATGAAGGGTGCACCCGTATCGGCCAAAAACCCGACGATCGAGCTCATGGTGGAGAGAAGCTTGGTAGAAAAGGTCGAAGACGAAGGCGGGAACGAAGAAGCAAGAACCGCCATGCTGTGCGGTGTGGTGACCTTGATCTTGCGGTCGAGACCAAGTTTTAGTAACACGGAATGCAAGTTTTTCATGGCTTGGACCAATGCATCAGGGTCCAGATTCTCATCATTGATGGTCAAGTACTCGTTGCCTACACAAATGGCTACGATGGAAGTGGCGGGTATGAAGGGCTGCACGCGAGTGGCGAACCACTCGTCGGACGCGGCGACGTCCTTGCTAATGTTGGCAACGTGGGAGTTTTCGACGGCGACGATAAGATCTATTCCTGTGTTGGAGAAGGCTTGGAGGATTTCGGGGTTGGTGTCATAGATTTTAACTTTGTCTATGAGCGTAGATTGGAGGAGTTGGGCTACCTTTTTCGGTGAAGGGAGGTTGTTCCCTAGAGTACCATAGTTAATGCCGATGCTAGAGACGTAAGGCAACGGGCCGAGGAGGAGGAGGAGGAGGAAGAAGAGGCGGTGGTGGTGGAGATAAGGAGCCATTTGATGGTGTTTTGAGTGAGAGTGATTGGTGAAGTTGTGCCTAATTATGAAGTGAAATGGAGTGGCAGTGTTTGTTTTTCAAAAGAATCGGGACCATGTCAGATTATGTTGGGGACAGCACATGAAGCATAATTCAAAAGAGGAACAGTTCTTTTCCCATTTTTCTGTCAAATACTATTACATTACGAGTCCTGAGACTGATCAGTGGGTCCATTCATCCAACTATATTCAGGAAGAAAGCAAAGACAATGAAACTCGTTACAAGATAAAGGTGAAGAAGAAAACTGGGGTTTGTTGGATTAACCCAATATGTATAAACCTGCTTCATTTCACGGGTTGTGGAATCATGTAAGAATCTTTACAACTTGCTTTTGTTTTATTTCTCTTTTAAAAATAAAAATGTCCTTCACCTTGGGATTGGTATGGGTCAGGTTAGGTAAGATTTTTGGTCCACCTGACCCGAGAATAGGAGAGTCTCCACCCAAGACCCGATTTGATCCGACCAAAATAAAGTTTCATCTGACCTAATCCGACCCGAATATATGATTTAGAAACTCGATCCGATCTCAAATAATAAAAAATATTTTTATTCAATAAAATAGTGACTTAATTAAAAAAATTATATATAAAGAAGTATTATTGTAATTATTCTTAAATATATAAGGTAAAATTATTTTTTAGATCGAATATTTTTCACCTTAAATCCGAACTCGATCCTACCCCAACCTTAAATTTTAAAAAAATCTAATCTAATTAGATCAGGTCGAAACCCATCAAGTTCGAGTTAAGTGCCCATCCCGAGGCTTCACCTGTCTCTATGCCAAATACCATATACTAGTAAAGGTCGCAGTTTTTTTTATTTGTTCTTTTTTTATATTTGAAGCTGATCCTATATACCACACAAGACTCGTTGAATTGTGAAGAAAGGATTGTATAATAAAAATTAGGATTCTAAATGAAACGAGACAAATCATAAATTATTTGAAGTTGATTCTATATATTAGTTAAAATTTGATTAACACTCGATTCGAGTGAGTTCGATTCAATTTCTTAATGAACTAAAGCGATTACTTAATATTCGACTCTAAAAATTTTCGACCAACTTAAAAAAATAATATATTAAAATTTTAATTTTATAAACTAAATTATTAATAATATTTATGTGTTGTTTTTTTAAAATGCAATATAAGATTTTAATGTACTTAATGTTTATGTTCAAATTCGAGTTTGAGTTTCAACCAAGTTAAGTCTGAGAGTGTTTCGATTTCAAGTTTTTTGGAACTCGAGTCGAGTTTCAATTTTTAATTTCGAGTTTGAGTCGAGCTTAACAATTTTAAGTTCATAAACTTTTCAGTCTACCTCAACAATACTGGAGCTCACTCGTCTCATTTTACAACCCTAGTAACAATATTTACATCACGTTCGATACCATCTCCATAAGGGTGTTTACCACCGGTGATGGAAAAAAATAGAACACAGGCTAAACTAAATAAATCCACAGCACGTGTTTGACGACCTTGACGAAGTTGCTCAGGAGCTTGCCGGCCTGAACTTCCATAACCTACATTAGCAGCAACATAACGAATTAATGTCACCAAACTTTACACAAGCAATGCATATAGAAAATAAAGCATTTTAGCAAAGAGTACTTGAGCCAAAGAATGAAATGAAAAAAGGGCATGGTTTAATCGTTGCTGAACTATACCAGATGTGATTGATAAACATACCAGTGGAACCCCGGGTTAAGGAAGACATATTGCCAGTCAAGCACTTGCTAATGCCCAAGTCCGAAAGCTTTGCACATATGGGTTTTTTCCTTGATTATTAAAACATTTTGAGGATTTAGATCTGGATGTATGATGCCAAGTTCATGCAAATGGGCAAGCCCAGAGACTATATCTCTATAAAAAAGATACTAATGTTAGACTCTAATCAATCTCTCTCTCTCTCTCACTCACACACACACACACATACACGAGATTTTAAAAGATACAAAATTTACCACATTAGTTTCAACAAATGGGGAGAAGGATGCCCATTAGGCTTCCAAAGTTCAACATCCTTGATATTTTCCATCACAGAATGTAATTGAACATTATACTCATTGAAGAAATTTGAATCTTCATCCTTGACTCGATTTTGAAAAGATTCAGAGCATAGGTAGATCAGGTCATTTAAGCTACATGTACAACGCTCTAGAGAGAGAGAAACAAAATCCTGATCATACTCTACCCCATACCAGGTAACAATATTTGGGTGTTGATCGGAAGCAATAAGGTTCTGACTATCTTTCAGAGCCACATCATGATGAGTCTGCGCAAGACGTTTAACAGCCACTGGACGGCCATCATAGATCCCCTCAAGCACAATGGTACCATTGCTTCCTTTTGCTATTTCTTTGTTGGAAACAAGCAACTTACCAATTCGGCGTCCATCTACACGGCCATCAACAATCTGTAATGGTCAGCAATGATTTGCCTTCATCCCTTTCAACATAAGGAAGTCTGTTTGTATTTCCAACATTATTTCTCTGAAACAAATTTATTCTTTTTGTCAGTATTGGCGCTATTCTTACCATTCCCACATCTCTTAGATTTTTTCTTTTTCTGCAACGATTGTAATTTAACTTTCTGATCCTGCTTACTCCCCTTGGCTGCACCCGTGCTTGTTGGTACAATGTTCAATGCTGCGGTCCTGGCTCTTCTCAAGTCACGGTGTGAAGCATCAAAGATCCGCTGGTCTCTGGTGTGTGAGTGGGTGGTTGTCATTGTACCCTTCACGATGCCTGCAAAGAGGGTTTGGCAAAGTGAGAAAGGTCCATCTCCAAGATGTTTAAGCTATGAAATGATGAGAGATTCTTTACCAAATTCTTCATCCATGACTTTTAGAAAAGGAGCCAAGCAATTTGTGGTGCATGAAGCATTGCTGCAAGTGCACAATGGCTAGGCCACTAGGGCAAAAGAAACACGAGAACTATCGTCGTTACCGGTGCTATATTCGAAACAGACCTGATGATGTTTGCAACATCATGATCGTAACCCCCTTCATTGACTCCAACGACATAGGTTGGAATATCTGCACCTTTAGCCGGAGCAGTTATGATAACTTCTCGGCACCAGCTTGTATGTGCTTTCTACTTTCTAGCTCGAGGGCCATCTACGAAGACACCGGTCCCTGTAAGAAGCATGTCGAACGATTCGATCACCATGAAAAAGGTTCCCCTGAAGCCTAATTATCTAAGTACCAAAGGCAAATAACTGCCTCGATAACAATGTGGATTCCAAGTTCAGCCCAAGGAAGCTTGAGAGGGTCTCAGTTGCCGGTTGGAGACACCTTGATGAGCTTACCATCAACACTTACGGTTTCGTTGTCGACTATCTTCACATCGGTCTTGAATGTACCAAGCATCGAGTCGTATTTCAGCACGTGCGAAGCCTGTGTTCTGAGTCGTATGCCGCGATTAATAAACCGAACTGACCATTAAAAAGTCATTAAATGAACTAGTAAATAAGGAAATCAAGCCACGAATCGTTCTTAACCAAACTAAATCTAAACGATGATGAAACCGTTTCAAAGCCAGACATCCAAAGCAAACTGAAATAATCCAGTAAAATATTTACATGCATCACTTATGAGATCGAAAACCAAAAAAAAAAAAAAGATTATTATCACTATTATTAGCATTACTACTACTACTACCTCTGGAGAAAATCGCAGAGGGATTCTGGAGAGAAATTTGAATTTGAACTGAACACGAGAGAAGTGAGTCGGAGACAATTTTAAGAAACGAGACAAAAGCTAAATATGGGGCGAGAGACAATTCGGATGGTTTTAAAATGGACTTAATGGCAAAATTACCTGGGACGTCCCCCAAACGTCCCCGAATTCTTTCAACCGTATTCCGCCACCGTGACCCATCCTTAGTACGTACCCCAACCATCTCCGTGCCGGAGACATATCGGGTACTTAAGACGGCACACAATTACCGTCTCCGTGCCTCCCAGGTTCTGGCCAATGCGTCCGAATCTGTTGATTGCAACCTTCAGTTTAGCAACTGTTTCTCCCCTAACATTTTATACAATATATATAAACTATATAATTTATATATATAATATATACATAATTTATATTTATATTATTATATACTATATAGATAAACCATATAGTTTATACGTATATACTACTATGTATAAACTATATAATTTATATATATTATATTATATTATATTTTTTTTATATATATTAATATATTATAATTGTTTTAGTTTTTTTTTTTCAACTTTTAAAATAAATGCAATTTAGTCTATTTTATATTTTATTCACATTTTATAATTATTTCGATTTGATCTCTATGTATTTTTTAGTTTATTTAAATTTTTATTTGTAATTTCATATTTATTAAATTTAGTCTTTAAAATTATATTTGCATATGAAATTGACTCATACGTACTACTTATTTTATATTTTTGTAATTGACACATAATTTTTTAAATAGGTATAATTTAATACTTTTTTATATTAACTTCAAAAATCAAATTTTAAAATTATTACGATTTTGTCCCTCATCAGTACGTGTTGTTTAATTTATTTAAATCTTTACTTGTAATTTCATATTAGTTCAATTTAATCCTTAAAGTTATATTTTTATCAAAATTGATACATAATTATTTATATTTTTAATAATTTACTCTAAATCATATGTCATTACAAATTGCAATTCAATGTTTACGAAAGGAGAAAAATAATTAATCTAAAAATAAAAAATAACTCGACCTGAAATCAATCTGTATCCGGTAAAGATCCGACCTAAATCTTATCTGTTAATGATGTAACCCGATCTGAATGAGATATGACTGAAATCTATCCTGACTTGAATTAACATTATATTTCCTTTTTTTCTGTATCTTCCGTGTACGACTTACGGTTCATATTCAGGGTTCGTGACTGGCTCGGTTAACAGTGTCGCTCCCAATATTCGAATCTGGGATCTTTCCGTAGAATGTTGTATGCCTTACCGTTATTCTCGACACTGGTCGATGAACCTGATATTTTCTCGACTTATAAAGTGAATGCATTGCTTTGCTTGCCATTTTGCTCCTGTTGGGACTTTGCTCTGCTTCGTTCACTTTAATTTGTTTTATTGTATTCACATTTGGCAGTTCATGATCTTCTTTCGATGTGGCCCTTCCATGTGAGAAAGTTTGATCTTGGTAGCATGTTCTTAATCTTCCTTTTTGCTAGGTGTAGTGTAGCATCTTTGTTGCAGGTGCTTTATTAGATGGCAAAGAAGGTTTTGCCATGAAAAAAGTGCTTCTAAAAAAATGTCGAATACACTTGAGTTTTGTTTGAACATTGCCGTTGAGGTCGAAAAGTGCCGGTGAAAAGCACACAGCGGCTATCTTCTTAGTTCGGTTTCTTTCTTTCCGTCACACTTTCGATGGTAGAAACTCTTTCTTTGACGTTGTTTTGCCGTCAAAAAAGTGTCTTTAGATGACCAAAAGTAACACGAAACATGTCCTTAATTCGTCCACCGGAACGAGACCGGACCGGTATTTGTACCTGGTTCAGAAAAGGAATGGACCCTTCAAATTGGCAGGAAAGGAAGTGAAGGGCTAAAGTGATGAAGAGAAGAGAAGAGAATCTAAAGAAGAAAATGTTGCTCGTTGATGTCGGTACCATTCCCTCTATTTTACAAATGTAAAAATAAATTCGAAAATCGACAAAGAGTGAATTAGTGTCATTTCATTTAATAAAAGATAAAAAAAATAAAATTAAGTTTACTATTCAAAGGGACATTATTTTATTAATTGATTAGTTAAATTATTCGAGTTGAAAATTTTAATTTGATTTGAACATAGAAAATTTAATAATAATTTCAATTGATTTGAATAATTTAAGATTTATATATTTTTTAAATTAAATTGATTTTTCTAGTCTTACTTTCTTTTCACCTAACTAACTAGGGTGATGGAATCAAAAGTGAATAACCCGAATTAACAGGGATTTGTTTAACGTATTTACTCATTCTTTGTAGCAGCATCCTGCTGTGCGCCGACGGTGAAGAACTCAGTGATGACTTCGAGCGGCATTCCTTTGGTCTCCGGGGACTTTCAAGAACACAAACGCCCAGGATATCAGACACACGACGACGTATATCCCGAAGATGCCGGCAATGCCGATAGAACTAACCATCACAGGCATGGAGTACGAAACAATGATGTCTCCGATCCAGGCGGTCAAAGCACAAATTGCAATGCAAAGGCCGCGGACCCTCGTTGGGAAGATCTCGGAGCAGAGGATATTCGGTATCGGTCTGTACCCCATCACGAAAAAGCAAAGGTAGAGCACCACACATGCAGTTGAGATGGCAGCATTTACTACTGTGCTCAATTTCACAATCACACTCAACACTAGAATGATTAGTGACACTATGACCACGGAGATTGTAGTGAGTAGCAGCCGCCTGAAAACAATATTGGTATTAGTGTCTTTCCGTTTTCTAGAGGTTAATATTACGAGTCGAAAATAATATTCGAGAAACATGAATTACCTTCTGCCTGATATATCCATGAGTTTCATGGCTACACCTATGCAGGGAAGCATCAGCAAGGTTGTGAATGCACTAATAAGAAACGAGGCAGAATTCGAGCCAAGTCTCAAGTTCGAAAGAAGCACTTCGACACCTGTCTCTCCAAGGATTTGAGGAGTGTAATTGAGAACTTCATTTATGCCAGAGAGCTACACATAAATTTTAGAAATTAGTTTAACTTACTTTGGGAACCAAGCTTATCCATTCTATGTACAAGGAGCTAAAAGAACTATGTAATTCTCCAGAGTTAATGCAAACGCAAGTGCAACTTAATGCGGTATGAACCAGAGTCATTTTTCGAAGCACATTCCAATGTATGAACTAACATAGTGAAAATGACAGGGTGATAATATAACAACCGACTTACCTGCTGAAGCATCTAAATCCTGAACCCGACAAGTAGCGCGTGTTTCACTCCTGGGTCAAGTAGAGCAACCCAGACGGGTCTTTTGAGGCAGTTTTAGCTTGATGAACCATTGCTGGTCCAACAGGAGGCTGGTCCTTAAGCTCCTTGGAATAAAGAGCAAGTTGGCTCACTAAGGCAACAACCTGGATAAACTCACCTTCTGCAGGCATATCATTACCTGGGGCTGGAAGGGATACATGGGACTCACGTCGAGATAGCACGATTCCCTCATCTTGCAAGTAGATCCTCTTAAACACTCATTCTTTCTTTCCATCCTCACTTTCTGTCTTAGACCATTTCCATGCCAACTGCCAACCTTCTCCAATTCCTGTACCACCGACCAATTCTGCAACATCTTGCATAGGAGTGCTATGACGTCTTATAGTCGGAGTACTGCCAGGGCTAGCTATTTGACGTGAGACTAACGGGCGACGCAAATTATCATCAGAGTCACTCCCTGCAACAGAGTCCTCAACTTCCCACTGCACGATCTCCTCGTCCCAACGCTCATTTCTAACTTGAGGCTCTGTTGTACTAAACATGCTTTCAAAATTCACAAAATGATTGCTTTCCTTATCGGGAGACTTTTCTTGCACACTGCCAAATAATGTCACCACAGGGACCATAAGGGG